GGGCAGCGCGACGGAGGCTAGACCGTCCCATTTCACAAGCCTCGCACTTCCGGCCTTAGCGGTCTTTAAGTACGCGGCCCTTGAGGACCGTTGAGGCTGCGCACTTCAAGGCTGCAGACCCTGAATTGGGATACAGCCAGAGTGTCTACTTTTGCTTCCCCTGGTCTTGTTGTGCTCACAGGTGTGCTCTCCTCCTGTGTCCCATTCCCTTGTTATCCCCTAGTGTATTTTAGCTTTGTATTTTCCTTGCTCTCAGTTGCGTCGTACCACTTCTTTGTGCTGTTTGTGTTTCTCCGAGCTCCTTGTGTCCCCAGTTATTTCAGAGTCTGTTCTGAGTTTTGTAGCTTCCTGGTTTCCTGTGTTTTCTGGCCTTAGTTTCTAGTTTCCAGTTTTGGTTATATGTCCTTATTCATCGCATTTGGATTTTCAACAGCAATAAAAGCTGCCTCTCTCAGTTTACCTTTCTTGTGTTCTGCGTCCTGCATTTGGGTCTTAAACCTGCCTGCCACACAGCGGAAACATGACAAGTTCGTCTTTTTCTTGAGTTTATTGTGTTTCGAGTCAGTGAGGTTTCTTTATTTGCCTTTTTGCATCATCATGGATCACCAGCCTTTATTCATTAAACAGCTCACTTTAAGTCGCTGGGTCATCTCCATTAACACTTTAACACATGCAGACCCACGACAACACGATTCAGATATGAGACGCAAATCAAGTAAATCAGACAAACAGGAAGCTCAAACTGTTTTAAAGCATGAATTCAAAGTCCAGCATAAGAAAGCAGGCAGCAAAACTTTATTTAAACAGGCAGAAGCACAACGTGCTGCTCAAAGCAGAAGCGCAGAGGAGAGTTTAAACCTCAGTAAACAGATTGTAAACACTGATCATGTGATTCAATAGGTTATTCCAGCATTACAGGTAAAAACAGCTTCAGTTATATTGGTGGAAACTGACGCTGGTCCCAGATAACCTGAGGTGTTGCTCTTCAACCTGTAGATGTGGTTCAGCATTAATGGAGCTTCAAATATTTGCTGGTTTGTGCACTAATAATTACTGAGGTCCCAGACTCTGCTTCAGTCCATCCAACGTCCTGCTCAGCATCTAATCAGAGTCCAGTTTTAACGAGAGGCACTTTCAGAACTAAAGTGCAGTTTAAAAACACGTCACATGAAGATCACAATGACACCGTCAGTGGTCTTTGAGATTCATGGTCACAGACTCTTTCCAAGTCTGTCTTCATTCAGGTTCAGGTCTGTGGAAAGGCATCGGTCCGCCTCACAGAGAGCAGCGATCAGCAGTGAGCTGGCTTCGCTACTTTTCCGTCGCACCGTGTCAATCATGTCTCGTGCTTTATCTGCTCTGCTCTGCTTTGATCTGACTGATTCCATCTCCTGATCATTGATAACGCGCTGCTGCAGGAGTTTATCCAGAAGTTTGTTTAAAACAGGTTCAGACACTCTTTCAATAAACTGTGAGCGAACTGTGAGCAGCCTCTCAGCTGCTGGGACTCGGGCCTCAGCTGGGACACTCCTCATTAAGGTTTCTGTTCTTGGTGCTGAAGGAACAAAGATAGATAACAGACATGTAACAGGACGCTGACCTGCAGATGAAAAGATACTTAAGTATGATTTCAGTTGAACTTTTATGAAAGAACCAGATGTTTGCAGGGTCATTTCTGCTCTGGCTTCTGGCAGCAACCTTACCTGGCAGGTAAATAGATGATTTCCAGGTTTCTGTCCCCTCTTGGTCTTTGACCGTCAGAGTCACGATCTCTGGATTTGTAGTCAGGAACACTTGAAATGTTGGATGGTAATTTGGGCCAAACTTTAAGCGAAATTGTGTTTGCTAAAAACCAACAGAAAGGTGCCGTTTTCATGACCAGTGAGTTGTCTTTCATTTCATGTCAGCAGCATTTAGTTTGTAACTGCTGACTCACCTCTGGCTGTATCCTGCTCTCAGGGTCACAGTGGACACTGTACCTTTGTCCGAAGCTGCAAAGACAGTCAGCAGGGGTCTGGATGCATTCAGCACCACGTCCTTGTTGGGCAGACACCTTCAGTGACAGGACAGTTTATTATGCTGGTAACATTAATAACTCTATTCTCCTGTAGGGCTTATTTAAACACATCAGGTGTAGAACATCATGTGTCTGTATGAATCAAAGAAAAACAATAATTCTGGAGATAAAACAGCTTTCCAAAGAGGAAAAAAGCTCCAGGGTTTTATTTTTATCATTGAAGTGTCAGATCTGACATTATGGGTCACAAACATCAAATGTCCACAGCTCAGGGTCATTACTGGGAGTGAGTACTGAAGAGCAGTGATTGGTCAGCAGATCTGAAGGTGAATATGAGTACAGAAAAGTTAACTGGAGCCTGACCCTGTGGTCAGGTAATCAGGGAGGAGTGACCAGTAAACCTGTACATAACTTTAGTTAATCATCAGAAAACTGCTGAGTAATCATTTGGACTCTATGGAGAGAAGCACAGAGTGAAGAGGATGAAACTGTTCACCTCTGACAAAGGGATATTTTCCTGCAGCAGAAACACATTGATTCTTCGAGGCCCTGTCTCCAAGAACAGCAGAACTTGGCCATTTACGGGTTCCTCCATGTTCAGCTTAAAGACATTACAGATGAGGCCAAAGGCAGAGAGGTGAGGGACCTTCACAACCACATGGGTGGCAGTGATCTCCAGTGGCTCCAAGACGGTCATCCCATTATCAGAGATGTGGGCAACAGACAGCAGGCCGTCAACATGCACCGCTGTCAGAGCAAAGAGTTTTTGATTCTGAGAGTTCAATTTTACTTTTCACCATATCTGAGAATTACATTTCCTGCAAACTACAAGTTCACTCCTGTCCAGTTTTGTTCTAAATAAACTCCATTATGGTTATTTGTATGACACTAAACAGTTCATATTGAATGAGCACCACACAGTAACACAGATGTTTTCGGAGCATCAGTGATGATGGAGCTCACCCTCCTTTGTTTCACAGTGTGGCAGGTGGAGCTGACGGACTGCATCCTCAGAGGATGTGATGTTAAACAGCGGCCCTGCAGCTGTTTTTCCAGCTTGTTGAAGGAGGCTCTCATCCCATTGGACATTCCTGTACAGCAGCTCCGCCTCCTGAGCCATAACAAACACCAGTCTGGTCAGAGTACACTGGAACACACCTGGACCAGGACACCTGAACCTGTAGGACACAGAAGGGCTAAAGCACTCCAAACCAGCCTGTATCACCTGAGGTCTGATCACCTCCAGCTGTATCACACGTGTCATTTCACATCATTACATACATGTTATCAGTCTAATGTGAAACTAGAAGCACCTGTAGGAGATTTGTGTGGATTCAGTTTGTACTTCAGGTTTGAAGCTTGATGGAGGCTGGAAATCAGAGAGGAACAACATCAGCTGTTTAAAGCACCAACAAACAAGTAAGCAGTGAAGAAACCACACAGAGTACACATCAGCAGTTATAAGTACATACTTTCAAAACTGCGAGTAAAAATACTGATTGTCTGATTAAAAAATATTTTCAAAATCAAATGATGCAGAATGCCGTATAACCAGTGAAGGGAATAATGGCATTAGTAACACAGACACACCAATGGGAGGAGCCCCACATCAAAACAGGCAGCATGTGATCACAACCCACAACACTTCATTGAATCGTCACAGATGGTTGAAGCTGTCTTCAGCTTATCGGGAGCTAGGGGAGCGAAACAATCGCACAAGTGCTGCTGATTAGCTGAGGAAGAATAAAGTAGTAATGGTAAATCACATGAGCAGTTTAAGATGCCATAGCAACAAGATTCTATGTCAGCCCAAGACAACCGTGAGTCTCCATTTTTGTGTTAAAAGAGTGGACTTCAAACTACATACCAGTTTTTAAATTGTGTTGATAAAACCAGAGTTATGATAAAAAAAATATACTCGATGTTTTTTTCCTGAAACTATTGTTATGTTTACAATTGATTGTTCTGTAAATAGTTTGAAATGGTTATTTAAAAAAAACAACAACACCTTGGCTGCATTTTTAGATAAATAGCTGCAAATAACTTTGTTTGCAAAACTTGTGCAAAAGTTTTTAAAATTTACAATTTATTTTTGCATTTCAAGGTATGAAAATGATTTGTTAAACATGTTTGTGGTTGTTACAGTAAAACATAACTTTTTTCTACTCTGATTTTATGTTTTTGTCTGATTTTAGATCAATTGTGTTAATACAGTATGTCAAAATGAAAAGATAACTGTAAATTCAGACGTGAGGTTGTGCTGAAAAGAATGAACCAAACAAGGCGAGATAAACAGTTTTTAAAGGTGAAATGCAGAGGTAAAATCAAAAGTAGTCAAAAACAGCCAATTACACCCTGGACCCTGGAGGGTTAAACTTTTTTTTAAAGTAACGCAATAGTTACTTTTTCTAGTAATTAGTTACTTTTCCTAGTAATTAGTTACTTTTATTACATTTTAACTCAATTACTAACTCAGTATTATTTTTCTGAAGAAGTAGCTAGTAACGATAACTAATTACTTTTTCAAAGTGACTTACCCAATACTGCGTATGACACTGAATCTTAAACCTGATTGGATGTCTGGCCTGACTGATCTTCCCTGTGATGTAGTTTCTGTGCTCTTTTTTTGTTCCATTACACAATAAACAGATCCACGTGCTTTTCTCTTACCTTAATGAGCTCTGTGTCATCCTTAGACAAATCAAGCTGAGTGTCTAATGAGTCTGGATTCAGTCTGACCTCAGAGTCACCTGATGAGACACAAACATCAAATAATTCAGGATTCCCTGGAACTCTAACTGGTGCTGTTTACCATCATGTTCATTTGTTAGTGGTTTTCTGATAAAATAGTAAGTAAAGTTTATTTATTAAGCGCTTTTCAAAGACAGGCAGTCACAAAGTGCTGTACACAAATATTAAAATAAACAATACAATCAATAGACATTATACACAGTGTAAATACAAACTGTTTGTGACGGATTTCTCTTGCTTCTTTAAGTACCCACTATCTTCTTCAGCTGCTGCCTTCTCAGTCACTAAAATGATTTAAAAAAGTATTAAAATACTTTGACAAAAACCAGTACCTACAAAACAGATCCTCAAAAAAAACAACAACATAATTTATAGATTTCTGCAGAATGAAATAAGCATAAAGTAGCTTTTATGGGATATTTTATTAATGAAATACTGATGAATGTGACACACAGTCTCAGTACTTACTGGTTTTGTCTCTGGAAGATTTAACTGTCTTGT